CCACATGTACAGGATCTCGTGGAGGTCTCTAGCTAGCGTTAGTACTTTGAACAAGAAAAGGAATAAGTCTAAGCACTTACCGTTCCTTCCCTTCACGCTACGCGCTCGCGCAACGCGTCCCTCTCTCAACGCGTCCCTCTGTCTATCTCGGCGTGGCCATGGGCGGAATGTACAGCGGCCGCGCCTTGCAATGTGGGCGGGGGGGGGGGGGCGGAGGCGGCGGGCGGGATACGGGGACGACGTGGCGGGGAAGGTGGGAAAGCGAAAGAAGGAGATGAAAAAAGTTCCCACGCTCGGCCAGCGGGGTCAGTCGGAGCGCTCGGAGATAAGTCCAAATTTGGACGCGGGCCCAGCCGGGTCCATTCGGGTCCATGCGGGTCCATACGGGTCCATGCGGGTCCACTCGGGTTCCAGACCCGTGCGGGTCCAGCCGGGTCCTGTTCGGGTCCACTCGGCTATCCAAATTTGGACTTATCTCCGAGCGCTCCGACTGACCCCGCTGGCCGAGCGTGGGAACTTTTTTCATCTCCTTCTTTTGCTTCCCCACAATCTCCCGCCACGCCCGTTCCCTTCCCACTCGTCCGCGACCTCTGGTAAGTCCCTCCCCTGCCCGCTGGTCCTCCCTGCTCACCTCGCGTAACCATAGGGCGCGTGTACGTCCTCGCTGGCAAGCCACGTCATCGTTACTTCGACGACGCCCGACGAAGACACGGTGAGCTAAGTTTTCGCTGCCCCGACGAGGTCTCATCGCCGCATGCGAGCAGCATCTCAAGCTCTCTGTCTCTCTTTCGACACGCGTTGGTATTTCTCGGCAGCGGCGTCAATACCGACCGCGCCCCCTTCGCGTCGGCCGCTAGGTGCGCGACTTCATCTTCATAATTCTTGCACTAACTTCGTTTCAGTCCACAAAACTGGGCTATTTGGACTGCTGCTGGAGCGTGTTGTGGACCGTATCACACATAGCTACTGCCTTACCCTGATTTGCAATGGAGCCACTTTTCCTGCCTGACCCTGACGATGCGATGTTAAGTCCACCACCGTCTCCCAAACCGCGGGTGCCTGTTAGTAAATACCTTGATCTCGAAGCTGGCGACTCTGGTATTGCTGAAGGCGAAGGCGAAGAATCTGAGGAAGAAGGCTGGATCGACGACCGCTTTATCGATGAGGCGGACATGTCAGCGATGCGCCAGCCGCGCAGCGTCAACTTTTCGGACTCGACAACAACCTCGACATTGGGGCTTTTATCCACGAACTTATGGCCAGAGCGCCATCTTATGCCCAACAACTTCGACGAGAACGCGACGAGGACGGAGACTCCGTTATGGACTCTGCTTCCTCTTCATCGTCGTCTACATCGACATCCCCAGAAGACAAGAACGCCAAACATCGCGTTGAACGACCACACCCAATCCCCTCACCGTCTGACCCCCCCATGTTCGCTATTCGAGTGCGACCGGGAGACGAGTGGGCGCTCGTCGTGTACACGATGTTCCAACCTGGAATTATCAGCGTGGGCACCTGGAGTATTGGCAGTGGCATTGTCTTCGCGGAGACATGCGACTTTGCTCGACCAGGACAGCCAGGCTATAAAAATGCGCTGGAGGTGCTTTCAGACGCGCTCCGTTCTTGGCCGAAACGTCGCAAGTACAAAAGAACGACTTTGTTGGTACCCCCGAGCAGTTGCACCAGCAGAGCAACATCTTCTGCTTCGTCTACCCAGCGATCCATCCTACTACGACCCGTTCGCCATTGGTCGCCGCTGGATCCGAATAACTCATAACAGTCTTTACAAAGGCGATCTCGCCTTCCTCGAGGAGCAGTCAGAAGCGGGCTTGGACGAGTCCGAGCTTTCGGCGCTCGTTATACCACGAATCGCCTTTACATTCGAAGATCACCAGCGGACGCGCCCATTGCGCCGCTTGTTCAACGAGGAAATGTTTGAGCGACACCTTCCTCAACAGTTACTCTTGCGTCAAAACCTCGTTTGCATCTGGAGGGGCCGTATGTTTGGATGACCTGGAACCGTGGCTTTCCCTGGTCTAGAGAGAATCCAGCTCAAAAGATGGCATTACCGGGTAGCTAACCCCGCGTATACTCGAGACGCCCGACCAACAGAAGAAGAAGTCGACTTCTTTCGATTGTCTGCAGCTCCAGAGCTCGACGTTCCTTTCATAGGATCCACCTGCGCGTTGCAGGAAGGGGACCTTGTTGTTGCTATTCGACCACGGCCTCACGTCGCTGGAACCCTGATTCGCATTACTAGTGAGATTATCGACAATCGAAAGCGAATGCTGGGTATTATTTCCAAAGAATACGATGGCACGACTTTTCTCTCTCCAGAGTCTCCCCTTCTCGCAACGGCACTTGTTTATCCCCTCTCCGAACTGCGACTTCATTTACTCGCCCACCAAAGACGGGTACACTTTGGAGACCGAGTCAAGATTGTCGGAGGTCCAAGTTATCGAGGGCGAACAGGACGGATAACCGAAGTCAATGAAGACAGTGTCACCATCGTCGTCCTCGTCGAAGAGAAGCCCGCGCCTGAGATAGTAAAACCAGATGCGACGGAACTGGCCACTGAACCGGTAGTGCAAGATGCCCCGTTAAACTCGACAGCCATTCAAGAGAAAAAGTTGCCCCCGCCAGTGTTGGAGAACTTAAGTCGAGCTGCCCCTCCGTTTTGTTGCCCACGACTTTCAATGTGGCGATTTGGTTCGTGTTATTCGGGGCCCGTATAAAGGGCGAGTGGGCCTGGTGGTCGAGGTCCACATCGGTGGCTGGATAACATTCCATGGGGTTAGTTGTTCGTCTGCGACTTTTACTTTTAATTAACCTAGACCAGGGCCAAGTCCAAGGCCGCTCTTTCGAGATATCGAATCCATTGACGTGGAAAGCGGAGCCACCATTGTACCCCGCCCCAGATCCCGACTCCATCGACGAGTTGCTTCTTGAGTGGAACGAGGCATTGGCGCTCGACCAACCGAATCGCGTGCGACAGGACAATCTTCGCGTGTCGGGCATCCGTATTCCTACTCACTCGATCGAGTTCGAAGACTGGCGAGACTCCCCAGTCGAGCTTTCAACAGAGCCGCCTGAGTACTGGCAGCGAGTGGAAAGTCAAAAGCGATTTCGGCGTCAATCTCTGCGGGACAACGAGAATTGGCTGAGAGACTCGCGGATCATGGTCTCTGGCCCCCACCATCTCAAGGGGCGATATGGCACTGTGCTGGACTACATGTGGAAAACAACGCGACCTGACCCTAATTTGTACGGGCCAGACTACTCCCAGCTGACGCTACTGCTTGTTCTGGAAGCTGGTCAACAGGAAGTCCTGCTGCCCTACAACTACGTCGTAGAGGAAGAGACGTGGCAACTGCTACATGTCGCCAAGATTCTCGGGGACGCCTGTGAGTTGATTAATCTCCGCGTCCGGCCCATTCCACCATCCGCGCCCACCCCCACGAATGACCCCCGATGTCGAGCTTGTCGATGTGCCAAGAATGCCCACCCCGCCCCCGCCGCCTGACCCGTTCCTCCAGATGTATGGCGCCCCGCCTCTCATCGATGAACTGAACGGAACATGGTTGCTGCTGCCACAACTCGTTGAAAAACGAGTAGACGTTCAGGTCGTAGATGAAGCAGGGCTTCAATATGTTGCCCGACGTTTCTCCCGCCTCAATAGTCTGATGCGAAACCCACAATACGCGGCCGCCAATAGCGTGGGGCATCTCTATCCTCTCGCTAGGCCCTTAACACAAGAATCGATTGAACGAAATCTCATCGCATTTATCAAGGAGCCTACAAACAAGAAGATAGCTATGCCCGCGCCCGCTCTCGTCCCGTGTCGAACGACCGAATCAGGCGCATCTATTAGCGCAAGCCCGGGACGGGTCATTATTATCGGCCCGGATATTTCGGGATCCACGCAACGTCTCGGCCAGTATGCGCTCGTCTTACCGAGGGAAACCTTACATTGGGAGCGGGTGGTTAAGGTACAGTTTCCTGCAGAGCCGACTGGCCCATTTGGTGCCGTGAATCGGCCACACGAACTGTTTCATCTTGTGTGTTTGTGCCGAGCTGAGAATGAAGACATTGGCGATATCTTAGCGACTGACTTTAACTAGAATGATATAACCGATACATTAGAACGTATAAACAAAACACTTGTACATACGACTACAAAATGTACATTATATTCTACTAAATCTGCAGATAACCCAAATCAGCTTCGATTCGTTGGCAAAGGGCGTCATGGCGTTGGGCAAGGAACGCTACTCGAAACTTCGTCGGGGAAGCATGGAACCAAAGGAGCAAGGCATCCAAGTGCTCGTCCGAATGTGGATTCTCGTTGGAGGCGGAGTCGAGGCGGGTCTGTGCTTCGGTTTGCGCGGCTTGGACAGCGTCGAAGTCTTGGGCGAGCTCGAATGCGTAGTAAGACGCTTCATAATTGGGTTTAGGAAGAACTGGTAAGCAATTGGTTAGGAATATTGAAACAACGATAATGATAATAACACACTGCTTGTGATAGTGTTATCGTTGTCGCAAACATATCGCAGCTCGCCGTTACGACTGGCATTAATTACTGTGGAGAAGGTAAGCGCAGAACAACAAGGAAACGCAGAGGACTGACACCAGGCAGCGGCAGTCGGGCCGAGGCCGAGATGCCCAATAGCTGCCATCACTTGGGCGTCGGAAGCCTCCGTAGCGACGTGTCGACGCGGCTGGTAAGCGGGGATGAAATAGTGGCGAATATCATGGCGAGGGAACGCGTGCGACATGGTGAGGAGTTGATCGATGGGTAAGTTTGCGACTGGCTAGGCTAGCCCTGCTGCACTTATATACCCTGACCACAGTAGGAGGACAATGCGGTGGGCGCATTGATGCGGTGGGCGCATTGATGTGGTTGATTGCCACGGCTAGCCCTCAAGGCCGATGTTGATCACACGTGATGGCCAGCTCGGACCGAATGCCACCGAACGGTCGCAACACCTCCTCTCATCATGCGATTACCCTTTAGCCACGTTCAAAAGCTTCAACGAGGAGAAGAACTCGGAGGTGGCGGGCACGAGCAGCTCTCGCCACTTCGCCATCGCAACAACCAGTCCCCTAAGAAATCTGGCATCCTGGCCATCGGCAGCCGCGACCGGACTGCGGTGTTGCACCGTGCTCACAAACCTCTACGCTCGCCGACCAAGACTACACGACCAGCAACACCTGAAGCCCTGCCACAGCCAGATTTTCTAACCTATGAACCCGAACCCGATATACCTGGAGTCGGGTCTCAAAAACGTGCTGCTCAATTCTATAATTGGTCACAAATGATGCCCGAGTTGGTGCAAGATTTGCTGGAGATTCAACACAAGACTGAATCCCTACGCTATATTGAACGGCTTTCTGCTCCCGTTCGTCACTGCCCCTGCAATAAGAGAGTGTTGAAGGTGACTCTGATACAATTTAACGGTGAGACTTTGCGACATTCCTTACCCATTGTTAATTCCAATGTAGACATCAGCGAAACCACGCTCCAGCTCTGCACCTGCAGCAACGCGGCTGCCCCGAGGCAACTACTTCGAGCCGGATTCTTTGCTTGCAGTCCGTGTAATCCAACACTCGCCGTCGACATCACTCTGCTTGACTTTGTGCGAAACCTGTTTCTGCACATTTCTCCCAACAACACAGCCTTTTGCCGTGCGCTTGAAGAGACACTGGCTGAACGAGGGCTAAGGCTCTTTAGCGGTGTATGTTTCCTTCTTGGTTGGCTATTTGAGCACGCTAATACTGGCACAGGAACTTCGCCTTCGATTCAACAACGCCCTACAATGGTATACTCAGGTCGTAGTAATGGCGCGGAAACACGTCGACAATGCTCTCGTCGCTGCTCGTACACTCGCCCGAGATGCACACGATGCAGACACGGAGGCGCTGGTCCAAACAAGTGACGAGCGAGAGGAAATGGCCCCAGAGATGCCCCACCCACAAGTATCATTCTCGTCTTGTGGCCAAAAGCGTAGTCGGCATGAACTTGATCGCGACGCAGAAGACTCTGAGGACGAAGCTCGAAAGCCACCATCCAATCCATTCCCCGACCCTCCTCCACGCTCCAGACCTAGCGACTACCTAATCAGTAAATGTCCAGCATGTTTCGGCTGGACTTAAACGCGATGCCACTCAAGTGTATGATGTGGCTGTCTGCATCGACGGAAACTTCACCCAGAAACGGCGCAAACAAGCCCGCGGAAGCGGTCCCGATCCCCCGAGAAGGCATCCAGATAGTGTCTTTATTGACAGGGCAACAGCTAATGCAATGGAAGCGTATGTCGAAGGAGTGCGAGCGCCGTCTGGCCGAAGCCAAAGGAAACGGGCTAAACCAATGGACGATCATATGGAGGATGAAGAAGATGGTTACGAAGGCAACTTAAAGGTGCCGCGGTCAGCACTCAACGCCTGCGAAAAGTCATTCAAAGCTGCTGATGAGTCGCGCGAGAAGGCGAGCACTCGTTTCTTCACTGAAACGGGTCTTATGGCTCTCGTCTGCCGCCACGATGTCCCTTTATTTCTCGTCAATATGCATAGCGCTGGGGAGAAGCAGTACTACGTTTTCCTCCTCATCGAACAGCTAATGCAACATCTGCCGCTGAGCATCAAACTGGGATTGCTCTACGATATCTCCTGCCTAACCGAGCGGTCTTGCGAGAAATGGGGCTTCCTGGATCGCTACAAGGACCGAATTGCCTGGGCCGTCTCGGTTTTCCACGCGTTTGCCCACATCTGGGCATGTCAGCTCATATACCATCCCCAAAAGTGTGTGGGGTTTGGGGAGGAAAACGGAGAATGTGCTGAGCGACTCTGGAATTCGATCTGCCACCTAATCGCTCATCTCCGCGTTTGTGGGGTAAGTCTGTCTTGTTTGTTGGGTCGATTACATCAACTAACTGTTTACAGGAAAATCAACGTGTCTTCGTGCTGGATCTCCAACTTGCACATAATACCCAGAGAACATTGCAATCTCTGGGCTCCTGGCTTCAACGCCGAACCCTTCATTGCGAGGCAAGCGTTCGCGAGGCGGAGAAGGTGCTGGAGGCCTGCCCACTATCGGAGGCAGAGCTTCTGGCCAAATGGCAGGAACAGGTGGCATTTCAAACCCAGCCCATTTCACGTTTGTCTTCCGAGCTCATGAAGCTTCAATCGTACTCACTGATCCCCAGGTCGGTCCAAAAACCAAGGGCAGCAAACAATCAATGCTGTCTTTGCCGCAGAACGCAGTATCGAAACGCTGAGCAGCAAGATTAGAAAGCTGGAGCTCTCTCTGGCCGAATTGACAGGGGACCAAGCTCTAGCACAGCAGGAGCGTCTTGCCGAGCTCGAGAGCGCCCTCCGCAAGGTCAAGAAGAACAAGCGGAAGAACGAGAACAAGCTAGGGACTGGCGACACGGCAACACTGAAGCTGCTTCGCTACAAGGAGTACTTCTCCGAGGTCGTGAATGCCTCTACTGGGCACGAGCGGATTCTCCAGAAGTTTCGCGCTCGCAAGATGGAGTTCGACCCCATTGAGCGTTCAGTGCGACGCTCCAGCAGCGGTACGAGGTTTCTTCCTGGATGATCTTCAAAAGTTGACAATAATTAGAGAAAAAGAAGAACGAGCATGCTGCTGCTGCGATTAAGAAACGCGAGCCTGGTTTGAAAAAACTAGTGAAAACTTACAACACTTCGGTCAAGAAGATAGAAAGACTCATCAAAAGTGGCAAAGCACCGCCCAAAGCCCTTGCTCCACTTGAGTTAGACGAATCGGACGTGTTCTCCCTCGACGCCAGCGATGCATTGTGGCTGGAGGTTGGACTTGGTGGCTTACCAGAGGACGGCGAACTTCCTGAGGCGTTAATTAACGCTGAGCTGAGGGGGTGGATTCGCGCGCTCCATCGCAAGCAACGGGCGATAGAAGAGTCAGAGCGGTTGAGACGCGAGCATGGACACCTGAGGGTGTGGTTTTCTACAGAGTGGGCAGCTCTTGGAGAAGCTTTGGCTGATTGTAACGAAGGTATGTTACTTAACTTTGTTTTTATCAAGTCCTCATTATCCTTAGAGCCCTTGGGTTATCAGCTTCTCTGTCGGCGCGAATTCCTCCTCGATCTATTATTGAAGTGGAAGCGCTCACTCGACTCGTTGGTCGTGCCACCTGGTGTCCCAGACTGGGGTCCATCAAGTGATGCGATCTTGAGAGCGCGATTAGCAAGGCTCCCTCCAGCAGAAACCGAGGAGGGAGGTTCAGATTCAGAGAGTGAAGGAGTCTTGGAGGAAGATGCGGAAGATGATCCAGCACTCATTCCAGTTCTGAGCCTGTTGGATCGGGGAGTTGTAGAAGAAGATGGGGAAGCTGGAGAAGAAGATGACAATGACTTTTTTATTACCTGAATGTATTCCCATAAGCTATGCTAAAAGCGTGTTCGTTCAGAGTGACTGAGGTCCCATGACCGCGACGCGACGCGACACGTCCCGTGACCGCGATACGATGATCGTGGCCCCCTGGAGGAAAAAGAAGTTTGCGCCCATGACCGCGACGCGACGCGACATATCCCGTGACCGTGACATCTCTCGTGACCACGACAGGATCATGGGCTGTCTGCTGGGACCCATGACTGCGACGCGACGCGACATGTCCCGTGACCGCAACACTGCCCGTGACCGCAACACGATTCTGGGCCACCTGGATGGCTGTCCTGTGTATGAGTAGTTTAGGCCTGCAGATTATGTTGGAAAAAGGAATTAAGCCAACCATAAGTAGGCAGTCTTATCTGTTCATAGATGTATTGTCTTACCTAAACAGCTTGTGACCGTGACGCGACGTGACGCGACGCGACGCGACATGGAGGGAGCCACTGTCCCAGCCAGAGGGAGAGGATTGTTCCACAGGCCTGAGGGGAAGCTAGGAGGATAGAACCCCAGGGTGTGCCTGTCCAGGGTGGAGAATGCCATGTCTGGGGAGGGCACCTGTGGAGAATGCCATGGGGTGTGGATGAAGTCAAGGGAAGGGAGGCACAATCCATAGCTTGGCCTTCCTCCCTGTGGTACTATCCATTACCCTTCCCTCAGCTAAGTGGGACTATGCATCATGCCACTGGGGATGCTTCCACCAGCCCTGCTGGCTCCACCATGGAAACCTCCATCAGCCCTCCACCCCTGGTGGTGGAACTGTCCACCAGCCCTCCTGCCAGCATAATGGAACCCTCCACTGATCAACAATGATCATGTGAGGTGTTCAATTTCCTGTTATGGCAGGAGGGAAGATCATGATAGGGACCCGGTCAAGACCTTTGTTAAAGCATCTTGCTCTGTCTTTTTTCCTTTTGCTACTGGTTTCTTTTCTGTTCATTCTAAACAACACAGTCTGATGGTCAGCAATCAATAATCTAAATAAAAGCCACAATACAGAGTTCACAAGCAAGACCATCCAATATTAATGCTATAAAACATAAGTTATTAATCACATGTGTATAATGGTATATGATTATGTAATGAGACTATTAGTAGTCTTTTTTTTTTAATAAAGAATTTAATTTTTTTTTTTCAAATGACCAATGTATTTAATGAGCTGATACTAGGACTATCATTAGGCTCTGTTGCTGGCTAGGGTAGTAAATAGAGTCAGGTCCACATGTAATGAGACTGCTTACTTATAAGTAAGGCTTCAGTTAAGTTTATTAATAGTAGCATTTAATTTTCTGAAGAAGCTATTCATTCAATCAGCTCATACCAGCTGATACTGGGGCTATCATCAGGCTCTCTTACTGGCAGTGCAAAGGGTCAGGCCCATTGCCCTAGGTAGCTACTAGATCATATAAGGTCTATCACTTAGCTAGACTGGCTCATTACCACTATATAGGCTATAAAACAGGCAAAACCAAAGGCCTGAAAGGGGCAGCTAGGGTGGTGACCTCCACAGTATTGTGATGTGACAGGTGGGGTGCCCTCCACCCCCAGTGGCAAAATCCCAGCCAGTGGAAGAGCTCCACTTTCTGGGGCCTCTTAGGTGGAGGGTTTGAGGGGGGTTGATAACCCTAAGAGGTCTAGGTTCAGGGTAGACTGAGGTGCTGGGGAAGGAACGTGACTAACTTCGTAATAAGATATGAGTAATCAGAAACATTTCTTGCCTTGCTCACCTTTGCACATTATTCAATGTCAAGCTCCTCTGTGTTAAACAGGTTAGTTATGATCAAGCCGAACAGGAATATCTAACACTTCTCTAGTACTTGTTTTGCTACCAACTCTCCATTGTTGAAACAACTGTCCTTTCCTATCGATGGTCTGGATAATGAGAGCTGGACTCAACTGGATCTCATCAATATCTCATTGGAGGTCTGTGGATATCATACAGTAATCATCTTATGATTCACTTACCTCTGGCTGTAGAGGAGAATCAACTTTACTGTTTGATTTTTCATTGTGGCACTCTGCTATTGGTTGCTGATTCAGAAAGCAGAAAATGGCTCAAAATCTGCAAAAGCATATCGTTTTCCCCCTAACACCAATGACATTTGCCCAACGCGATGCACTTGTTATTTTTGGCTTTGACGAGTATGACACGAGAATTACTGACCTTAAACTTCGGCACGACCCGGTTCTACTTCTCAATATGCTTGGCAAATTTCTACAACAATATGGATGGGAGCCCTCAACAAAAGTCCTCTCTCGATATCGCTTTCCTTCCTATATCCATAGCTCCGATATTCTTCAACTCCTCAATGGGCATTTTGGGGATTGGCAATCACTGTGGTACAAAGGAATCAACATTATCAAAGAGGACAGAAAGGGCAGAGAGGCTTACAACGGCCAGCGAGCAACTGAAGACGAGATTATCATTAATGCCATCCGATATCTTGTTCTGCCAGACAAGGCAGCAAAGATTCGAATGAACTGGCATGCAGCTGTACTCTGTATAAAATGGTACCAGGAGGTATTTGAACTTTGCTCTGTTGAATCACTATACTTATATATCTATAGCATTCGACCTTTCCAACTGTTAAAGAGCTTACACACTGGTTATCAGAGAGGTGTGAATAGCAATTGCTTATTCTGAATTATCTCAATAAGAGTATTAGGCCTAAGGCTATATTGGAGATTGCAGAGCAGATTAAGGAATCTGAGAAGGACCAAGAGCAAGAAGAAGAGCAAGCAACAAAGAAAAAGAGCCCTTCAGAAATAGAGAAATTCATCGAAAAGGTCTCCTCCTCCTTTACCAAACTAAGCAACGTCATGAAGCTTCTGCTCTATCTATCTCCACTGGTCCTTCTGGTTCCTATTCAGTTTCACTCGCACCACTATAACACACTGCAAATGTACAAGGTATGCGATGCGGACTTTAAAAGGACGATAACTAATTTGAAATAAATATAGCTTCACCAATGTCTTGGTTCTCAACGGCCAGATGATATATTGACGATTGAGAATCTGATCTGGAAGCGACTGTTTCAAGTAGTCAATGGAGAGAAAACAGTTGAAGGTGTCTTGTTTGATCTGGTAACAGAGGCTTCAGCTATTACTCTGACTACCACAACGAAATGGTTCTGTACGTGCAAATTAAGATATTTTTATCATTGTAATTCTGATTCTTTTTATAGTATGTGAAGATGATAGTCTTATCCAGTTGAAACCAGATTTTGGATCCAACAATCTCATGATAGAGCCTGTTCAGTCACAGTCGTTAGTTATCGCAGGTCTGTCATAATAAATATTATACTATTGTATCTCACCTATCTGAAAGATTCTTCAGCAAGCTCCGGTCCAATAGCAGCTATTGAGAATGGTAGGAGTAACTATCATTATACAGAGTCTCATGATTGCTCTAGCTCCAGTATCCCCTCCAGTAATAATTGAAGAACGTAAGTATAAGTCAACTATATGTATATATTGCTAACTCAAATGCCAGCTGTACAAACTTCTCATGATCAACAACCATATAATCACACAGTACTCGGACAAAGCAGCTTTGTGGCTGAGTTTCAGGATATTCAGCGTAAGAGAGATCACATTGTATAGCTTCTATTCTAATAAGTTCTGAAAAAGACTTTGTTCATACACAAATACCTGAAGATATGTCTATGGATGATCAAGGTAAGTTTTGACAGTATTCATAAAAAATCAGCTTCTCCATACTTCATAGACTTTATACAACACAGTTCTCAGCCTCTGTTTTTCTCTTCTTCTTCTCCGGAGCCACTGGAACTGGATTATGCTGGAGGCCTGGCTAATGGAATGAATGCTGCATATAGTCGCAATGCTGATCTCAATAGAGGTATGGAAGCTAGCACTAACAATCTATTTTGTTGACCATACCGTAGGACTGACTTCTTCAGATGCTACCATACCTGAGACAGAAAGAGTTGTGACAGGTATTGTTTATAAATGTGCCAAAGACTTGACTAGAATGATGTTTAGAGATTTTACGACTTGCCTCAACGATATCCTCTGAGTCAAGTAAGTGTTTTTCTTTCTCAAGAGGATACTAAAAAATAAATTAGACTGTATCAATCCAAAAACACTATCTGTTATCAATACAGTAGTACCTGAGACTCAGTTATCTCAGCCACCGCCTATAGTTCCAGAGCCATCACTTCCCACTCTTAAAAAGGCTCCAACATCTGGAAAAAGGTTTTCTGAAGGTGGAAAGACTTATGAGGCTTCACGGGCAGCAGCAATATCTGTCAAGCGCAAATCCTCGAGCTCAAGGAAGCAAAGGCAACCAGCAAAGAAACGAAAGGTTCAAGAGGACAGTGATGATGATGATGATGATGACAACCTGCCTGTTGAGTCAGAAGGTTGGAATTTATTTAAATCACATCTGTGGTGTGCTAAAAACTGCAGATGACGATGATGAACTCAGTGAAGACAATTCAGAGGGTATGATTAACCAAGTAAGTATAATCCAATATTATTTGAGTCATTAATCATATGTTTACAGAAGAAGACAGTGTTTCTGCCAAGGAAAGATATTATCTATATCGATCTCACTGGAGAAGATGTATGATATTCTTGTTTTCTCAGATGGAAAACAGCTAATTTTCATCTTAGGAGGAACTAGAACCACAAATTGCACCAGTTCCAGATCAGAAGCCACCGATTATGATAATTGCAACGATCACAATTGACGGCACGGATATTGAGAACATTATGGCATTTGAAGTCAAGGTACCGTCAAAGTCAATAATGATCA